CATTGGAACAGGTTGCCCAAGGAAGTGGTGGAGTCACCGTCCCTGGCAGTGTTCAAGAAACGTGTAGATGAGGCGCTTATGGACATGGTTTAGTAGGCATGGTAGTGATGGGTTTACAGTTGGACTCGATGATTTTGATGCTCTTTTCCAACCATAACAATTCTATGATTCTATGATTCTCCTTGAGCCCCTGAACTAACCATATTAAGCAAGCCCTACCCTACCTACCTCAACTACCTTGCCAAAACCTAAATTTCTCTTCTTACAGGGAATATGATGGTGAATTGTTTTATGTTAGGGAAAAGAAACAGTTTGAGTGTGTGGTATATTTTTGAAGTCTAACTCTTCTTTTGAAATAAGTGATTTATGTCATCTAATTCTGTGACCTAAATTCAGGCATCCTGCACGTACCTTAAGGAGAAAAAAGGATACTGGAGATATTCATTAGGAATCAGGAGAGAAGTCCTATTTTCATATTGTCTGTTTTTGGAGTGGCTGCTTTATAGATGCTATTTCAGCCTAGATGTATCTCTCATAAGAACGTAACAGAGATGAGTCACTTTGTTCTAATTGCACTGCTCAGTTAAGTGGAGGCATCAAAATGAATTCTTTCTTCTCCAATCAAATTTTGCTCAGCCTATCTCTGTTCTCGCTTTTCACATTAGAACATGGCAGTTTGCCTTTGGAACATGTGTGGAGACAATAGCTGTAATTTTCACTGTAATTTACCTATAAATTAAATTTAATTTTTTTTTTCCCTAAAGTCTTTACTTTTTGACTGCTACCATGTCTTATGACTTGCTATAAACTCAGTCAACAGAAGTTCAGAAAAAGAAGCCCCTGTTGTCAAATGCATGGTGCTTTCAAAAAACAAAATGATAAACACAAAAAGTTTCTGATGAGATTTCAACATGACCATGCATGAGCATGTTGATATTATTCAAAATGACAGCATAATGCTCAAAGTTCTTTTTAAGGCAGTGATTAATATGAAATATGTGTAGGAATGTTGGAGTGTCCAGAAATTAATGTTTGATTTGCTCAGTCTTTTCTCACATGCATCCGTAGTCTGCTTTTGCTTGCACATAGTAACCCCATGTATATAAGTACTGAAAAAATGCACAAAAAGGGCAACTGGAGACCTGTACTGAGGATTTATTGGTAGTAGAACAATATGTGTATATAAATGTAGGGACCACTAAAATGACAGTCCTTATTGTTAGAAAAGACCATCTGTTACTTGCTTTGTTCAGCTTCACTGGGTATAATCAAAATCAGGCAATCCATTTAATCATAGCATTCAGAATCAGCTAACCATGGCAGATTTGGGTAGGTGGTCTGTATTTCTATATGGATTTCTTTATTTAAAGTCTTCTCCCTCCCTCTTCTCCTCACTCAAGCTTGTTTAAACAAGAACTTGCTGTCTTTGATAGCTTCTTAAGTTTAGAAAGTGGTAAAATACTGCAGTTTTACTTTTTACGGATGCTGACTTCTTCTCATCTAGATAGTAAATTTTGAATAGATAGGCTGAAAAAAAATTACTCTTAACCTTATTTTGCTCTTCATTCACTTTTCTTACAACACTGCAAGATAGCTGTCAAAGTTTCCATAACTTTTGAGGCCCAGTATCTTTAAAATAACCGATCTGCTGAGGGAGAATAGCTTCTAGTCCTGCATGTGGAAAACCAACTTTTATTTAGAAACCCATGTTTTGTGTATCAGTGCTTTCTTCTTTCTCAGCTTCTTTTCTGTCAGATAATGCAGTTCATCAATACCTGTGAGTTGCTTATTTACTTTATGGAATTTAAATGACCACGAGATGATGGAATTCACGATCCTGCGAGGAGGAAGCTGGGCAAGAAGTAGAATTGCAACCCTGGACTTTAAGAGAGCTAACTTTGACCTCTTTAGGGAGCTCCTTGGAGGAATCCCCTGGGCAAGGGTCCTAGAAGGAAAGGACGTCCAGGAGAGTTGTCTACTATTCAAGCACCACTTCCTCCAAGCTCTGGATCAGTGCATTCCTATAAGAAAGAAGTTGAGCAAGGTGGGCAGGAGACCTGTGTGGATGGGCAAGGAGCTGTTGGGTAAATTTAATGAGAAAAAGAGCACATACGTAATGTGGAGGAAGGGCCAGGCCACATGGGAAGAATATAGGAACATTGTCAAAGAATGCAGGGATGCAATGAGGAAGGCCAAGGCCCGTTTGCAATTAGAGTTAGCAAGAGATGTCAGGGGCAACAGGAAGGGCTTCTACAAATACATCAGCAGCAAGAGGAAGACTACAGAAAATGTTAGTCCGCTGCTGAATGGGAAGGATGCCTTGGTGGCGGAGGACGCAGAGAAGGCAGAGTTACTAAATGCCTTCTTTGCCTCAGTCTTTACTGCTAGGGCCAGTCCCAATGTACTGAACCCAGAGACGAGAGAGAACCAGGAGAGAGGAGGACTTTCCGCTGGTTGAGGAGGACTGGGTTAGGGATTATTTAGGCAAACTGGACACCCACAAATCTATGGGCCCGGATGGGATGCACCCAAGAGTGCTGAAGGAATTGGCAGGGGGCATTGCTCAGCCGCTCTCCATCATCTTTGAGAGGTCC